TCCAATCCTTCTCCTATCTATATATAAATAGTTCATAGTTATGCATCGCATAAACTTTTACCTTTCTCATATGCGGTTGCAATGCTTGAACTATATTCACAATATTATACTCTACTTTCAATGCTTTCTCTTCTAGCAATGTATTTCTATCTTTCTCTCCATTCTAAGCCTTCTTTTAAAGTGGGCTCTTAACACATGATAATTGATGAATCATAGAGCAATAGTAAAAAAAAATTAAATGGATATCATATAAATGAAAAATATATTTACATAAAAATAATGAATATTTAGTCATCATCATCCATAGAATTAAATTTTGAGTTAAAATTAAATTTAATCAATACCTACCATTCAATAATCAAAGCTACCTCATGTCATTCCTTTAACAACAATATGTTGAACACCAAACCTCAATTGTCAATTACTGGTCAACAATTAATTAATGCAAGGAATTTGCTAACAAAGAATAATCATTTCAACTAATGAAAATTAGAAAACTACTGTGGCCTATATATGAAAAAGAGAGAGAAATTACACAAATTTAGCAAGTCATTTATTTAATGTTAATTAGTGTCTATAACTAATTACATCATCTATTACGTCATAATATTCTGTCTCACATTCCATCTCATGTTTCCCTGTTTGGATTGGCTTCAACGCTCTAATTAATTTCAGAATCCCCACTTGCTTAGCTATGAGAGGAAGAGGAATCTATTTCTCAGCTTTCTATGTTGACTGGACTTATTCGACTCAATCAGATCTGAGCAAGGGCTCATTGACCATTTGGTCAATTAATTTGACTCGACTAATTAATGCTCAAATTAGCTATATGATTTTAGTTTGTCATCACTAGTTGTCTTATGACTAGTAATCTTCTTAATGATCAGTTGATTAGAGCTTATACAAGAAGGAAATTAAACTGATTATGAGATTTATAAAAATAAACAATTGTGTCTGAGCGGTTTTGAAATGAGTGTGAATAGCCATAGGGGTGTCGAAAAATGTCTTAATCCAAAAAAATCGGATTCAAGTTAGCATGTTTAATAAATGGGTCGGGTTCGAAATTCTAACCCTTTAATTTATTAAACATGCCAAGTTCTTGTTGACCGCAAACCGAATTTTGATCAAAAACTAACTTTTTTCTTTAATTATTTTGCTTGTTTGTGTAATCTTCTTATTTTTTGACCAAGTTACCTAAACTCTATAGTTGATAAGATATATAAAAAAATGTTTTAAATAAAATAGGTTATTGGGTCAGATTTTGGTCATTTGAGTTGTCACCGGGTCGGTTCCCATCATTTTGATTTGTTTATTGAATTTGGGTTCCATTAGACCTAAATCTAACCCGCTATTCTATATATTCATATAAAGATCAAGCTAATTGGCCTCAAGATAATTCGATCTTGGCCCTCTGATCATCAACTTCATGATCCATATTAAATTAAATTTAAAAATTTTCAATTAAAAATATAATTGAGATTAATATTTGAATGATTGAATTTTTGGATGATATCAGTCCAACACTGATGTTTCAATGTTTAATTCTAATCAAAGCGCAGGTCTCTTTCAACCTTTAATTCTAATCTAATTCCTTTTTTTGTTTAAAGAAATCTGTTCAAGCGGTTAGGTCTCCCAGCCTACAATTACTGACTTTTCATGAATTAATTAAAACTCTTCATCCAGCAGTCTACCATTCTCTGACCTCCATTTAACTGTCTGCTCAGAAAATAATTTAGAGCTAATTAAAAATTAGCACATGCAATGAATGATATATGCAGCACTGTTAATCAAACTTAATTAAAATAACTTCCCGCACATAAAACTGGATTCCATAAGCTTAATTAATTACTTTACGATTAGTTTATTAATACGTACTCATGCATGGCATGTGGCTGCTTGTTGACGCAGAGAGAGAGAGAGAGAGAGAGAGAAGAGATCCTCTGCATGGCATGTGGCTGACTGTTGACATAGAGAGAGAGAGAGAGAGAGAGAGTGTATGAGTGAGAGAGAGAGAGAGAGAGAGAGTGTGTATGAGTGAGAGAGAGAGAGAGAGAGAGAGAGAGAGAGAGAGAGAGAGAGAGAGAGAGAGAGAGAGAGTCAAGGCCTGGGAACATGCATGTATTATGTATAGAACAAAGTCGGTTATTGAACATCGATCCAAAGTGCTTCAGAGAATTGTCTGAAAGGGACAACAAAATCTGGGAGTTAGTTTGTATTTTGCAGATCGAAGAATATACGATCGAATCAATCTTATATTTTTCATTATTTATTGATTGGTATTAGCTGTATGAGTGGAATCATTCACGTACGTACGTGTTGACATGCATGGAAAATTGCCCTTATATTGATTTTTGCTCTTATGAATATTACTCAAGATTATTTGAAGACCATTTGAAAATTTGACTGATTTTGAATTCATGTGTTAATAGTAATGGGACAGTTCCAACTTTATATTTTAAGCTATGTATGTTGTGATCTTAAAATTTTTTTATAGGATTAGGCATATCTTTTGGTGCAATGAATGAATTTCAAAGTACTCAAAGAGAGTTGATTAATCAAATACAATTCTAGTTATTAAATGATTATTATGGTGTAATGTACGTTTACAAAGCTTAAAATATAGCCAAATTTGAGTGCATTGGAACTTGAACTGTTATGAGCCAATAACTTGGGGCTTGTTGTTCCGGTTGGGTGTCGTATTCACGGTTGGTGTTGTGTATTGATTTCTCTTTTTGGTTGTTTGACATTTTGGTTGGCTTTTGTTGGTTTGGATTGTGGTGCTGGGGGTTTATATGGTTTGGGCAATGATGAGGCTGTTTTCTGCTCTCCATCCCGACGACTTGCCTTGTTGGCAACCACTGGTGATAGGTATTTGTAGTCTGCTTGGTGGCCTTAGTTTGAGATGTGAGGCCATGCTTTCATATCTGTGACTTCATCTGTATGGTTTGATGTTTGTTTCCTCCTCTGGATGGCCCCTGCCTACGGTTTGGGTGGTTGCAGAAAGTTCACCATTAATTGAGCCCGGCTGGCTTTTATTCTAGTGTTTTCATTTTATGTCTGTTGTTTTGACGTGGCTTTTTTGGCATGTATCTGTTGCTTTGTTCGTTGTTGGGCTTGTTTGTATCTTTCCTTTATTGTTGGAATAAATTCTCCTTTTGTTTAAAAAAAAAAAAACTGTTATGAACCAATCTAACTGCTTGAATCGAGTGGAATATTGATGGAGTTTCCAGCATGTTATGCCATGCACATATTGAAGAGGGTGATTGTTGTTACCGCTCTAATGCCCAACCCCAAAAAAATAATTTCTTCCCTTTCTTCTTATAGTCGTTCTTCCCTTTCTTCTTATGCTCGATCCATTATAAAATCTCAGTTTTTACTGGAGATCTTTTCAATTATCTCTTCTATAATTAATACAACAATAATTAATTATTTTCAGAGGCAGAACCAGCCTTAATTTTTCGGAGGGACAAACTTATAAGTAAAAGTGCAGAGATTTTTCAGATTATGCTTGGGGCAATTGCCTAAAGACCATAGTATTATAAAACTTTTAGGGGCAATTGACTAAAATCCCTTGTAATAAACCTTATACACAATGTGTATAATTCTACTAAGGGGCGCAATTGCCTAAAGATTACAATATTTTAATTTTTTTAGGGGAGACAATTGCCTAAATATTTCTATAATAAGAGTAAAAAAAAGCTGGAGGGAGACAAATTATCTAAAAATCTATGTAATAATAAACAAATTTTCAATTTTTTTAGGGGGGTAATTGCCCTGTGCACTTAAGGGTTCCGCTCTTGATTATTTTAATAAGATATTGTTTTTAAACTATTTGAGCATATTTTGAACCAGACCAGATTAATCAATCCATTTAAATGCTGAATCTTGTAATATTCTCAACCAGATTAATAGCATTGAAAATTTTTTATTACTCTAATATAAAATTGTCTGTCGTTTTTTTATAAGTTTTTACCTTTCGTATGAGTTTTTTTTTTTTTAATATTTCAATTATGTCAAGATATTCAAATATAAACTATATTATAATGAACTTAAAATTTTTTAGATTTATTTTGAGTGAAGTTTATATTGCACTAATTCAATGCAAATCCAATAATGAGGGTTGTCGATCGATTTGAGTTGATAAGTTGTGTTTGGATTAGACCCCAAATTTAGCTAACCTGAATATATTTGACCCAAATCCTTTTCATTATTATATAGGTAAAAATATTTTACTCAAATCTGACACATTAAACTCGATTTGTCATACGAATCATACAATTTTTTTATCAACATGACTTTATTAACCCAAACATGACCCGTTTGAATTCATCTAACTCGACCAAATACCAACTAGCTAGCCTAAATCTAAATAGTAACGAGTCAATATCAAGTTGATTTTGGGTTCTTTAGGTCAACCCAATATGGCCCATATATTTAATAAAGTTAATTTAAACTCAAATTTTTTTCGATCTTGTTTCGATTGAGATGTCAGATTAGATCATTTATTAACATCTCCAACCAATAGCTTTCATCCTCATACAATTTATATCAATATATCTTAACAAAAATTTTTCATTTCATTCTCATTTTGAAAACAATATTTGCTTTTCTAAGAAAAAAATTTGGAGTCAAAATGTTCTAATAAAAAATTAGGTTAAAATTATTGGATTTATTAAGATAAATATAATACTCCCCATTTATTATTGGATTTATTATAATATAATTAATTATAATTTCTATTTTATTTATCTCAAAATAAATTTAACGGATACACGATAAATTCTAATAAAAAATTCAATCAAAATATTTTGAGCCAACATTTTTTTTTCATTTTAAGATGCTCAAAAATAATTTTTAGGGCAATGCATTTGCTATACAAAATTTAATCTATTATGATTGTTCCCTCCCTCTACAAATTTGACAATGCGTTATGATAACCTGCCTCACCTCACTTTCTCTATACAGAAAAAATAAAAGATTCAACTAAAAAAACAACTCTCTTTGGCTAATTATGCTTTATTAATATTAATTACACATTACTTCTCTATTTGCCAATTCAAATCAACAATGCTATATAAAACTTGAGAAAGAAAACGTTAATAACATAAGAAATTATTACATCCGGTTGTCGGACGCGGAGATAGGTCCGGATATCAATAAAATATTATTTTAAATTAAGCGTGTCAAAAACGCAGGTAAAACGCAGTCAAAGCGCACCTAAAGCGTAGTCAAAGCGCAGTCAAAAGCACAGGTGACGTGGCATGTTTTTATTGGATGTCCGAACCTATTCTACGCGTTCGGTGACCGGATGTAATAATTTGATGTTAGATAACCATGAAATGAAGTTCATCAAATGATACTGCCCCAGACTTCAGGTAACAAATTTTGTACAGCAGAGCAAGGCTTCGACTTTTTTATTACTTTTTAAAACATAGTTTTAGTACATTCTGTTTTAAAAAGTAATAAAAAAGTCGTCCCAAACGAAGCCTGAATCTCATGGAACTACCCGACCTTATCTTCATCTGCTGTGCTCATGCTCTCCAAAGCCATGGCTGCACTTTCCACATGCCTAAGAAGGATCTCATAAATCTTCCTTCTCACCCTTTCACACGCTTCGGCATCATCATCCTCCAACAGAAAGCTTTCTTTCGAGCGTTCGACAGCCCAAGATTTATCCTTGGCACTGATTGTGGCCAACCAGTCATCAACTCGCTTCAGTTGACACAGTAAAGATGCAATCTGAGACTCTTTTGCTTTACAACTTCTGTTGCTATGGATAACATCTAAGAATTTCTCAATGTATCTTAGAAACCATCTGTTGCATTCAGATTGCAGTGCCTTTGCCAAATCAACAGTCATTATATTGCAGTTTAATGTCGTTGGAAGAGCACTTACAGCTGACAACTCAGTGCTCTTCTTTTGCCTGCTAATGGAGGTATGTGGCTTTCTGTCAGAAGATGAGGATTCTATAGGATCTACAGTGGTGTTTGTTATCCTTGGAGATTTTGAGACTTCTGCTTTCAGTGCTGCTTTGATGCATGAAGCTGCGCATTTTCTTCTTTCTGATGCATCTTTTGCTGCCTGTATAGTGGAAGTTGATATAGACTGAGAAAAGCTGGAATTTGTTTTAGCCAATGACTGAGTAGATAAGGCGGCTCTGGAAAGGTCTTCATGGAAGTCCAAGAATTTGTCTACTACCTTCTGGGGATTACGGTCCTTGTTGGCTTGTAGCTCTGAGTATGTGCTGACAAGAGAAGATGGAACAGAAAAAAAGCAGCAAAGTTGGAAAGTATTAGGTAGATAAGGAATTGAAAATGCACTTTCTATATTTGAAGAATGAATAGGAGACTTCACCACAACAATCTATAACAGATTGAAGCGTCAAACGAAACTAATAATATGTATACTAACTACATAGGTATAGAGAGGGGGTCCTATTCTATCAGAAGTAAGAGATCAGCATTGATATGAACTTTCTTTTCAATTTAATTAGTTTCTTCTTAGAACTTTGAGAATCAAAATTGCAATCATTCATCTTCATCACCATCATTTAAATGAGACACTAGATTTTGCGTGGAAACCCCTAAAAGGGAGAAAAATCATGAGGCTTTGCCCAATTTAAATGAATCATATAGATTTTGCAGTTGATTATAAATAAGGTCCTTTCTTGAGGGGAAGACCTTGGCTCGATATAGCAGATATACATCATATAGAGTGTATCACATGGTGGGAGTTGGAAGAATCAGTGTTAACATGTTCGTTTGATTGGCAGGACTATATATAGCCGATAAGCGATATAGGTGGAAGGGACTGTAGTCGGGCAACAGCGGTCAGGAAGACCATAGTTTGGAGATGGTGGTCGGAGAGACCATAGTCGGTGGGCGACGAAGGTCGGAAAGATCATAGACGGGTGATGGTGGTCCGGAGGACTGTAATCGGTGGGCGATAGAGGTCGGAAAGATTATAATCAAGTGACAATGGTCGGGAGAACCGTAGTTGGAGGGGTGACAGGGTCGGAAAGATCGTAGTCAGTGAAGGCGGTTAGAAGGACCATAATTGGCTGTCAACAGAGGTAAGAAAGACCGTAGTCTAATGATAGTGATTGGGAGGACCGTAGTCAGCGGGCGATGGAGGTCAGAAAGACCGTAGTCATAGATATTGGTCGAAAGGACCATAATCATATGACAGATGTCGGAAGGACTATAGTCGGTGGGTAACCGTGGTCGGAAGGACCGTAGATGGGTGACAGTTCTCAGGAGGACCATAATAGGTGGGCAACAAAAGTCGGAAAGACCGTAGTAGATCAGGTAACGGTGGTCGGAAGGACCGTAGTCAACAGGCGATGTTGCTATCCATGCAGATGTCTGGCAATGGCCGATGGTCAGAAGACCGGAGCATAGAGCATTACCATCCTTTTTTCTTCGGCTCATATGAGAGAACAATTCTTAATTAGTAATGGAATGTTTTATCTACTTAAGATTTGGACACAAACTTGGTTGAAGTCATTATTGAGTCCTCCAAAGAATTCAAGCACCCATTACCTTTCTACATTGCCTGAGAATTACGCATCATCACAATATGTCAACTTGACATTTTAGTAACAATCCAATTCAAGCTAATAAATTTCATTGCATTAAAGTACTAAAAAATAGAAATGTTGTCTTACTTGATTGTTAAAATCTTAATTTTGATCGTGTGGGTAAGGGTAATATCTTTTACTTTTGAGTACATTTATTCACAAACTTCCTTTGTAGTAGAGAGAAACATATATGGCTTAGTGATTTTAGATATCATGTTATTTCACAACTAAGACATAGTCATAGAATTTGCTTAATCTCAAAAGTATAAATTTTGGGACTTTTGGCTCCTGAGGAGGACCCATAATGTGATGAATACTTCCTTTTCCTTTCATAAATGTCTTCACAATTTGGGACCATTTCAAATAATTTTCCTCTTTAAGGCAATATGAGGCTTGTAGCCCCTAGAGACATCCTTTGATTTGATTTACACTATTCATGATAGTCAACTCATTGGAAGAAAAACAAAAAAACTAGCCATAATAAAGGGAGATAAGAATTTTGATAAGAAGAAAGAAAGAAAAAGAAAATAAGTTTGGAAGACGAAAATCCTAATCTTGCTCTGATAATATGTAGAAAAGTAAAAAAAAAAAAAATCCTTAGAATTTTATTGCTCAATTATGTACAATATGTGAAAGTATAAATAGACTTCTCCAAAAGTCTTAAAGAAAAATAAATAAAAATTATTTACCAAAAAAATGAAAATAAGTCTGTAAGATGGTCTGGCAGCTGAAAGTAGAAGAGGAGAAACAACGATTATAATCTAAGGATCATAAGATGATCGATTCAATAGTTATAACCCTTAATCCAGGTGCTCAAGGGGATCCGTATCAAAATTGATTAACTTGTGGGTCATACAATCCTTCAACATAATGGTTATTAGATTTTCTCCTTATTAGGGAGTGAACTAAAGAGGGATTAAAGTTAACTTAATTAGATGCACCAATCCTAAAACCATTTTTAACAAAAAATTTAAGCCTATAGGTTAGGGTGAACCATTTAGTAGTTCTAAATCATATTTTTCAACAATCCAATGTAGGATTAAACTCATAATCTCAAAAGCCTCAATAATGTCATCCTCATTTAAGAGATCTTCACATTGGCCATAATTATTTCCAAATAGAATATTTCCAAATAGAAGCACATTAAGTAATATGCACTAAGAGTCGCCTCAGCCATGTGAAGATGTTGTAGGAGTTATATTATGTGGTTGGCCCACGAGGGGCCAGCTGAACCGGTCCAACAGAGATCGGTTCGGTTTTACAGCCGCCGGCCCAAGTTTGGGCGGAATCTAGGGGGCGGCAGCCCTAATAGGGCCCACTTGCTTATTTAAACAGCGTTTAGGAGGAAACATTTGAATGAGGGGCTGTTTAGGGGTTTTGTAAGCTTTCTTTGGCCTTAATTAGTCTCTTGAAGGTTAGGGTTAGGGTGATCTGGAGATTGAATGTAATTTTGAGATCTAGGGTTTGTGTTCTTGGACTCTAGGTTTGCTAGAGATTTGGAGAGTCTTTCTTTCTCTCAAATTGAAGAAAATTGTATATTGCTTTGTGTTTCTTATTTGTTGTTTAAATCAAAGTATTTCCCGTGTTTTCTTCTCCAAACCACTAAAATTCCTGCATTGTTCTTGCCGATTTCTCATTGAAATCAGCCCTTTACTCGCTGTTTTTGTAGATTCTTGCTAGGTTTGCTTGTGAACTCAAGTATTACCCGTGAGGTTACTTGCAAACTCAAGTACTTCCTATTAAATTGGTATCAGAGTGTTATCTTGGGACCATTAGGGGCTAAAATTCTAAAATTTCGACACAGAATTTTCATCTGCAAGAAGTCTTCTCGAAAACCTTGGAAGGAAGATGACCGGAAAGAAAGTAGAAGTATTGGAGGGAGAAATAGGCCAACTGAAGACCAATTTTGAGGAAAGAATCATTGATTTTCAAAATATATTTTATTTCATCCATGTAAAGATGGATGGGAGGTTCATCGCCTTGGAAGACATGATGAAGAATATGCTTGAGGGCAAACAAAATCCGACGACATCGTAAGCAAAGGAAACCACCGGCGATAATGGGAGATGCGGAAATCCAAACCCATTTAGGGGGAGGGAGAATCCAGAAGTGGAGATCCTTGAGGGGAATTATGGAATGCCTTATACATAACCACTTTCTAGAGAGGAGATGAGCATGGGCTATAAAAAGAGGGGTGCTGAATTTTTTGGGAGAATGGATGATTTTTATCGTAGGAGTGCTGAAGATGAAAGGAGAAGAGGGGAATATGAGAAGTGCTTGGGTATGATCGTCGGAGGGAAGATCGAGACCACTGGGGAGCATTTCCTCCTCGAGGAATGGAAGGTTATGGAGAAGTTAGGGGAAACGGGGGTGACCCGAGGGTGAGGAAACTGAAGATGCTTATCTTTGAGGGAAATGATGCACATGAATGGATCTACAAGGTAGGGCGATACTTTGCAGTCAATTGGTTAACTAAAGAGGAGAAACTCACAATGACAGGACTGTGTTTGGAAGGGAAGGAACTGGCATGGTACCAATGGTGGGATATGAGGTGGCCCATTCGAAGCTTGAGGGAGTTCAAGGACTATCTACTAGAACTATTCCAAACTAGTAGGGGAGGAGACTTCTACGAGCAGTTATTTTCCCTAACACGGGAGGGGATAGTGGAAGAGTACCTAACGAGCAGGATAGGTCATCTTTCTGAGACCGTGCTTAAGGGGAACTTCATGAAATGACTCAAATCGAAGATTAGAGCAACTGTTAGAGGGATGAGACCGCGCGACTTGGTGGAGGCCATGGAGTTGGCATAGCTGGTCCAGGACCAGAAGCATCTAGAGAGCGAGGCTCGAGGCAGTAACTCTGGGGGATCCTACAGGATTACTACTTTTCTAGATCTCAAAGGAACTGTGCCGGGAGGTTCGTACGAAGCACAAAAGGAGAAGTCTGGAGGAGGGGGGCCTAAGGGAAATTTTAAGAAGCCCACTGAGAAGGAGATACAAGAGAAGAGAGCTAAGGGATTGTGTTTCAGGTGTGATGAGAAGTACATGTAAGGGCATAGGTGTAAGGACCGAACTCTTCAGGTTCTCACCATTTATGATGACGAGGAAGCTGAAGAGGGAGGTGAGAACGGGATAATGAAGGAGGAGGAAAAGAAGTTGCATCTGAATTTCGCATAAGTCTCTCTAAACTCTGTGGTGGGATTTAACCCGAATCACACCATAAAAGTGAGGGGAGAAATAGCAGATTGTGAGGTAGTGGTGCTGATCGATAGTGGTCCACCCACAATCTCATCTCTAACCAGATCGTAAATATGTTGGGGGTGAAATTAGTAGACACAGGAGAATATGAAATGATGATGGGTATGAGGAAGGGGGAGATGGATAGAGGAGTTTGCAGGGGAGTGGTGTTGACCTTTCAAGGGATACAGGTGAGGAAGGATTTTGTTTCCTTAGAGTTGGTAAGCACCGATGTCATTTGAGGTTGAAATGGATGTAGAATTTGGGAGAGACCAAGGTTAACTAGGGTGCTATGAAGATGAAACTTATGGTGGAAGGATAGAGGATGGTGATCCAGGGTAATGTAGGGCTGTCTAGGCCCGAAGTATCTCTTAAATCCATGATCATATCTATATAGGAGGTGGGAGGTGGGTATTTGGTGGAGCTACA